AATTATTCATCATTAAAAAACCTCTTAACGGGTCTTATCGGTCCGAATGGATTCACTTGTAAATCGTCAACATCATATCTTATTGTTCAGCCCTCGGGTATGTCAAATTTCACGAGCGTCTCAAGAGCAAAATTGCGCCACCAATCAGAATCGTTCATATTTGTTATCACTATTTGTGAAAATCACGTTTCTTATCATCCTTTATAAAAATTATAATGTGATAATATAACAATCATCAATCATACAGGTTTATGATGGGTATTGGGTACTTTCAATTCTATTAGTGAACTAATTCATGTGATTCAGCTCATTAAAATGTCATTGAATCACTGAATCAATTCATTATATTTACATTTTATAATTGTGACTAATATTTTAAACCTAAGGGCTATTTACAGCGCCGGCGGGAGGTTTTGCGGGGCCCGGGGCAGATTATTTTGATGGACTCTAGCCAAATGTAATGTAATGTAAAAAAAAAATTTTCGCAAGTCCTATTACTTATAGGTACTTCAGTACTTGTATGAAATTTTTTTCAGTTTTACATAATTTACCTATAAATATTTTTTTTCATGTACTCAATTAAACATTGTATTAAACGTTCACTTGTAAATATGTATTTATTTCTTAAAACAGTTAAAACATAAAGCTACAAATATTATTTTGCTTATACACCTAATTTATTGGATACATTTTTCATATAAAAATAAAATATGTACAAGTTAAATGTTTATGTAAACTGCACTAAAGTACACTAAATACAAGTTTTACACAAAAATTAAAAAAAAAACTCAAGATTTTAAAATTTCAAAATTGTTTTTTTCTAGCTTTGGCTGCAGCAAAAATTGCAATCAGCTCACTAAAATCTAATGAGTCGGTAATTTGTTGTTCAATCGATAGAGTAGCTAAGCTTGTAAGTTTACACTGTGATAAAGTACTCCTTAAATAGTTTTTAATTATTTTCAATTTGGAAAAACTCCTTTCCGGACCAGCAGATGTTACAGGAATTGAGAGTATTATTCGTAGTACTATCGAAATATTTGGAAAAGAACCACAACATTTTTTTAGTACTGAAAGAGCTTGAAAAGCTGTCGTTTCTTCAGAAATTATAGTACAAAAAATAAGTAGTTCTTCATACAGTTCATAACCATCTATATCTTTTAATTCACCATCAGTTAGACCGTTTTGTAGATCATGGCAACATTTTCTTAACTCTTCTTTTTCCATGAATTTTATTTTGCTAATCCGATATAAAAAACCAAAGTTATTATTAAACGATTCAAGCTGTGAAAATCTCATATTCATAGAAACGATAGCTTGATCAACAATAGTTAAAAAATAATCTTGATAAAAAATAGTTTCCTCATTTTTAGATGGTTCATCTTGAGTTTCATACGAAAACATTTTTTTTTTAGTTCGTATACGGATTTTTTTAAAATCAGCAGAAACTCCTATAGCCTTTGCCAAATCTTTAGCAGTTGTTTTTGCAGATTTAAATCCAGTATTTCTATAGTCATTTAAAAATGAGAGTAGCCCATTTAACATACTAGCTGAAATATCTAAATCCATGTTCGGGCTCTGAAGACTTTTGCTTATTGTATTAACTTCTACTAAAATATCATACCAAATAATTATGCTTAGAATAAATTCGTAACTACCAATTTCATTTTCTAAGGATTTACATTCACTTCTTATTAAAGAGTCTGACGAAGTATTTGATATTTCTTCAAATGCATTTAAAATTTCAGGCATTTGATATCGAATCGCCTTAACACTTTCAAGGCGGCTCTCCCAGCGAGTTTCGGACCATTTTTTCACAGTCATGATGTGACAATGCTTATTTAAAATAGCCCATCTAGAAGTAGATGCGGAAAAAATTGTGTATATTCTTTCAATTGTTCCAAAAAATGTCATAGCTTTAACTGAACTTTTTGCGATATCGCGAAGTAATAAGTTTAATTTGTGTGAAGCACAAGGCATGAAAAAAGCTCTAGAATTAAGTTGGAGAATACGGGACTGTACACCCTGATACTGACCAGTCATATTTGCCCCGTTGTCATAACTTTGACCTCTACA